TCCTTATAGACAACAAACATTAAATTCATTACCATCAAGAATTTCAAATTTGAAACCAACACTTGAATCATTGACAATTGATAAAAGCCTTACTTTGCTTTTTGCAAGTTGGATTGATAGAAAAACTCCATCATATACTTCATTCAGAGAAGTAAAATATAAATTCAAACTTCTATATTGTAGTAGCAGGGATGGTTTAAATGCTGCCACATTTCATCAAAAATGTGATATTATCAACAAAACTCTTGTAGTTGGCAGGATGCAAAATTCAGAACAAATAGTTGGTGGTTATAATCCACTGAATTGGAGTGGAAATAATATATGGAAAAGTCCAACTGAAAGTTTTATATTTAATGTAAGCAATAGAAATAATATCAATACTGCACAATTTAGTTATGTTATCAATAATAATCGTGCAGTTGGTTGTGATCCTTCTAATTTACCAATTTTTGGTAGGGGCAAAGATGTTAGATTTAATATAGATGGTAGTGTTAGTAGTAATCCATCAAGTTATAGTAATGTCAATATAGTAAGTGGTAGCAAATTTGATAAATTGGAAGTTTTTCAGATAATTGATAAAAAATAAAAATAATAAATATAATGTTAGATTATTATTATATTTCTTTATTTATTTTTCGTTATTTTTTATTGATTACTTAACATGAGACCAGATTTAACTAATTATTACTATATAGAGTGAGGAGACAAAAATGCAAATAACTAATAAAAACTTTTCATTTGAAATTCAACCAACTTAATGAACTTCTGGTCTTTGCTATGAAAAAGTGAGGGGTGTAATATCCTTAAAAATCATAATAAACTTTAAAAAATAAAACGTTATTTTATTTTCTGTTTAAAGCAAATTGCTTGATAAAAGGCAACAATTGTGAAGCTTTAATGAAAGCCCATGTTTTAATTGTTTAGTAAGCTAAAGTTAGGACTAACGTTGAGTTGCTAGTGAATGTTAACAATGATTAATAAAAGTTGTTTGCGAGCAAAGGTCGGGACTAACGTTGGTGTTAGCAACAATAGTGAAGAATTATTTAAAGGTTGATTGTAAGCACTGTTAGTGTATTGTAATAAATTGGTATAGCAAATATAAGGTTGTTAAGCGAGCTGCTTAAGTTATTTTGTAAATAAACTAAAGTGAATTTGCAATCAGCCAAATAAATAAGAACAAGTGCAAACGACTGAAATAATTAGCTACAAGTGAATAATAAAAGGAATTTTATAAAAGGCTTTAAGACATCTTCGTTTGTTTACAGTTATCCTATATCATTGAGCGTGTTACAGATTTGCCAAAGTTTTCTAGGTGAAAGAAAGAAGCAGCAAGCAAGAACCAAAGTAAATTCGTAATCCAACTAGTTGACAAAACGCGAATTATTGTGAATTAACTGATAAGAGTAATCCAAAAGTTATGTTATCGTCATCCATTAACAGAAAAGCTACCTTGCAAAATAAAAAGAGTTATATTTCACAACCAGTTGATTTAAGCATTGAATGCTAAGGATACCAGTTGCAACTTTTGATGATTATTTGCAATCACTTCTGCGTCATATAAAAATGATTGATTGTAACCACCTTTGCGACCACTTTGTTCCCTTTTTGGATTTCAACATGGAATGACATGACACTTTTGAATAATAATGTTCTCAATTTTCTTGCAATAATATAAAGGTTTCTATAATGCACTTCCATTTGAATTTGGTCTACAAATTTATCATTATTTTCACTATTTTACATATTATAAGCCAATCAAGTATTTTTTTAAACCTTTCTTGTTTAAAGGTTTTATTACTATAAATACTCAACAAGGTAAGTTCTTCATGCCACATTCAATTAACAATAAAGTTATTAACATTTTTATTCAACTTACTCACCACTTACTCAATTATCTATACCATTTTGAACAAATCCAACATCAAATTAACAGGATTGGCTTGTACTCGTAAACAATTATCACAGTTTCCACACAGAAGACTTGGTTTATCATCATTCCATATGAAATATTTCACCAGCATATACAGTCCACTCTCCATATAATGGACTATTTGGCTTAGTATTAAGTAAAAATCTCTATTATAGAGAGAATTTGTGGATGGACAGTGATAATTCACATATGAATTTTCAGTCAAGATCCATTATATAAAGACCCATTATAGAGAGAGTAAACTTGTCCCCTACAAGTATATTGCTCCCCACAAAAAGTAGACAACCTCAAATATTTTTTTCTCTTGATTTAACTAGATAAGCTTGTCTTTTATTTATTCAGAACTTTCTCCCATTTCTTTATTTAGTCCACAAAAAATGTTTGTATTACTACTAGTGTTGGTTTCCAAAATTAGAGAGTTTCGCAACCGTGCGAAAGTCAAAAGGTTTCGCCATAAGTCGAAACTAGTTTTGATTTTTGACTATTGACTTTTGATTTAGTTTTGACATATAACTTTTAATTTTAGTTTTGACTTTTGCCTCTTCAAAATAGTTTTGGCAACCAACACTAATTACTACTAGCTTTAATTTCACATTTACAAAATCAAAATATTTACAATTCTCTTCCTTGTATTATAATTGTATAATTAGTGCGGGAATAATGTATATAGTTGCAGATGAGAACAATTGTTCTATTTAATTAATTCTATATATTTATTATAAAAAAGCCACAGATTATGACCTTTACCTGCTCTTTTTGTTTCTTGCGCAAATATTACCTATCATAAAAAGATAATATTGATCAATTCATTTTTAAACAAGTTGCATGACTTGATTTAGAAATATCTGTAAAATATAATGGACCGTAAGTGTTATTTTTATTAATGTTATAATACAAGCAAATAAATATATAGGTTCTATGTTTATTATTTTAGGATTCCACATTGAAAAAGTATAGATAAAGAAAAAATTAAACAGAATGATACAGTGCATCATGTTTTAATTAACAGTTTGAGATCCAAAATAGCTGAAATGGAAAAGGAAATGTAAGGCATGATTAATATAAAATATCTTTCTTTTTTTTACTATTGTTACTAAAAAATAAAAACTAGGGAATCATTTCATAGACATGTAGATATTAATAAGTTAACATTAGACATTTGTAACTTTAAGTTAAGCTGTGTGGTTTAAAACAAGCTTTGCAATTTTAACAGTCATTCGCAATTTTAACTTGGGCATTCTCTAGCTTAATTAGACTTTTGTTAAGTGTTTAGTATTTGAACTTTTGTCAATAATAAGTTTTTATTTTTTTTAATACTAACTTTTAATTTTTTGCATATAGTTAAAAAATTACAGTTCTTAGTGATATGTTTTGTAATAAAAATAAAAGACAAGTTCATGTTTCATATCGCGAGAATTCTTAACGGTGAATTTTCATATTCAATTTTGTACTTGAGGTTTTTTACTAAAATCAAAATTTTCAAACCCTTTTTCGCCTATTAACATTAATTTTTTACCATCTATTTTACCCATTTTGATGAACCTACTGTGCTCGACTCTCCATATCCTTGTGCATTTAATATTGCTCTACCAAGATCCATTTTCCGAACAACATGCCCAATTTTAGTCAATGCATTGAAAGAACCAACATTCATAAGACTTGCTAAAAGTATGCAGAATATCATTATTAGTCCAATCATGGCCACAAAGTATTGTGCAGCAAAAAATAGATCATAGCATGTTTTGTCAATCGTAAATTGAGCAGTACTAACGATTTTAGCTTGGTTGGTAGGAGTCACCATATTGATCATAATATCATTGCACTGGCGTTGGTACATACCACTTATACCCTCTTCAGTTAATCCATTTTCTTTCCATTGTTATAATAAACCATAGTTTCCGATACCATCTGCTTGATAACCAGCTAACATATCATAAAGGCCAATCATCGTATTAATTGCATTACCAGGAGCAGAAGCAGCATTTGCATCAGAACTACTAAATACGTTAGAAGCTCCTACTGGTAACAAAAGAGTATTTTCGCTCACTAATAAACTATTATTAGGAAGTTTTTCTCCAAATTCAACTCCTCCCCACCAAGGATTCATATCAGCAATAATAATACCAAGGCCTCCATTTTCAATATACCATTGTGCTGGAATGGTTTGCACATCTGTTACATTAATTTCTCCTGTTGTACTAGATTGCAATTTGATGGTCTTTACGCCTGCTTCAATTATGCTAGCACAGCTGTAAAAAGTTTGCTCAATACCTCGTGTAGTATGCATGGGAAATCCAAGCAGTGTCCAGCAGTTAACACCAATTATATGTTGTGAAATATTGTTTTGTCCATCATGTCTTTGACACAGAAGTTCAGCTTCCGAGCTAAGTGTCTCATTAAATATAATTTAAATGACCATCAAGTAATTTTCCTGAACTAACAGTTCTTGGCTCCATATTACCAACTTCAAGAACTGGTAACTCAAAAAGGGCCCATTTGCTGTCATATTTAATCCTTTCATAAGAATATATTGCATCAACCGACTATACCTGATGCTTCTTGCTGGAAGATAAGTCAATTGGTATCGATCACCAATTGGATTTATATCTGATAAATTTATATCAGTATTGTTAATAACCACATAGCCTATCCAAGTCTCCAGAAAGCTGGTAACATTTTGCCATGAAATCATTGTAATATTGATTGAATGACGACTGACGTGTGGTTGCAGCCACATATCTTAAGTTGACCAGCTAAAATTCACATTGGCATTAAATTAGGTTGGATTATATTATTTACTAAAAATCCACCATTACCAACCATTGTGTCGATAATTCCATAACCCTCTTTCTGTACACTTGTTGTTACACTCATCATCATAAAATCATTAACGGGATACGAAATATTATCATGATTTCTATTTCTCAACAGATGATATCTCATTGCATTATTATTGTATGTCTTGTTAACTGACTAAACATATGATCATAATCAGTGCACAAAATTTTCTTGTGGAAGTTTTTTCTGAAATGTAAAATGATCATGATTATGATTGTCAGAAATAATAACGAAAATTCAGCCGGAAAAAACTGGCAAATTAGGGTGCCTTTTGTGCGCTGATCATAATAAATGCTAAAACCTTTCAAATCTCTTCAATCTCTTCCAAAACTATTGGAAATTTATCAGAATTACCATAATCCCATTAATATATAATAATCGAACAAAGATTCATCTTCGATTGTGATAAAAAATTTCATTTTAAATCTTTGAATAATATAAAATATTTATCTTATTTGACGTGTAATATTTATTTTTTTTTGTTTTTGATTTACAACTCAGATATTAAAATATTATGGAGTGTTACGACTTGATCCCCTATGATTTATTATATTTATACCAATTAATAATTCAAAAAAAAGTTTATCCCATATTAAGTTGCATAACATATAAACTGTATGACGTAAATCAGTTACTGGGACTATACGACTTCTATTATACTATATTGAGTATGTGTATGATTCACTATTTCATGTCCTAAACTTATTCTTTTAGAGATAACCAAATTTACCGCAGCAGCAAAAGATGTTCACATGGAGCAAAAGTGGCATAATGACTAATGAACATTATTATTACTATTATTATTCATATTACTTGACTTATTTATCATATGTATTTATTTTTAGCGCGATTATCAGCGTTATAGACAAACGTTTATAAATCATACATATTGTTTTTCAACAATTAAGAAACAATAAACATACCTTTTAATCAATATATCATTGGCAAATAAAAAAAAAAATAATAAATAATTGTAATCGGATTTTTCCGCAAAAATCATTTGCAAATTCTGGATTGGTTGCAATTACCAGTGATAATTTACGGAAAAATACATGATTATTTAAGGTATGTATAAAGATTTGCATTTTTATTTCCATAGGGATTTTCCTACGTTATACAAGATTTAATTAATAACTGATAATGTTGTTCAAAATAGTAAAAAATTGGGGCAAAATTTTTAATTGATTTTGAGTTACATCGCGGTCCTTCTCCCTTGTGGACATTGTCCTGACCCGGGTACCTGATCGAACCCGGTCTAACCTCTAATATATTCATTCATTATCCCTATGAATACATATTCCTTCTGAAATTCAACTTTTTAACAAATAGTTGTACGTATAGTTATTCGTAATACAATTTCTTATTCGAATTATTCATTTATTATTATTCGAATTATTCGTTTATTCGAATTACTCATTTTATTTAAATTATCCGTTTATCCTTATTCGTTTTATTTGAATCATTCTTTTATTCTTTTATTCGTTTTAGTTGAATTATCCGTTTATCCTTATTCGTTTATTCGAATTGTTCATTTATTCGAATTGTTCGTTTATTCGAATTGTTCGTTTATTCGAATTATTCGTTTTATTCAAGTTATTCATTTTATTCAAATTATTCGTTTTATTCAAATTATCCATTTTATTTGAATCGTTCGTTTATTTGAATCGTTCGTTTATTCGAATTATTCGTCTATTCGAATTTATTCATTTAATTGAAGAAACTTTGAATGTAATTCGAATACTCAAATTTATAACGAATAAAACAAATAGTTCAAATAAACCTTATTCGAATAGAAACCCTATCCACATTCCGGTTTAACGGTTCAGTCCTTTAATTAGACTGACGGTCTTTGGATATGACCAGACAATTAACAACCCTATTTGTGTTTGAATACAAAAATAATAAATTAATATATACATTATAACAATAATAATTAAAAATTAGAGTGATACTTTGTCACCTGATAACAATATTAATAATTAAATAGAGATCATTCATTAAATTGTGTAAAAAAAACAATCGATTAGGTCACAAAATACAGTGTGTTAAGAAAAAATCGCCGATTTGTAAAATATTGTTTCTAATCTAATAAAAATTATACCAGAGAATTGGAAGTTCTTAGATTATATAAAATTTCGAAGTATATCGTCATGTAGGCTTTAGAACAATTATTAAAGAAATTTACGCATTGAATTTTTTTTTAAAAATAATCTAATTTCTTTTATTTCAATTGACAAAAATTTAGAAAACCTCTAAGTATAAATTTTATATACATAATCTCCGGGAAATTCTCTACAAACTGAAATAATGTTTATACAATCATTATGTATATTTTTGTGTCAGGGCCATTTATTAAAATTTACATGTTAAAATTTCTTGTGTTATTATTATTATCAGTTGAGACGTGCAGTTTTTCGTCACCGTCGTTTTTGTTTCAACACACTGTAGGTACACAATTTTATTTTCCTTATCTAAAATTTCCAAATAGAACATTTAACTCGGAAATTAATTCCGTTCAAATCTTTATAAAAGGTCTTGTTTAAGGAGTTCTTCTTCCTAAACAAATTTCAGTTTAAACATACTTTATCTTCCAAAAATATATCGCCTTTATAATCTCAATTAGAAAACATCATATTAACAAAAAACATTCAATATCAACCAGTTCTAAAGTCATGAACATTTTTACCGTGATTCTTGTTCTTGCTGTCATATCTTTTGGAGTTATAACTCCTTCTGTTAATGCTGAAGATGTAATCCGATACAATATGACTCTCGGTTTCAATAATCAATTAAATAGTTTAACTAGTTATACTTGCGACTCTGGATATCACTTATGTTCAAATAGTATAGGGAAGTGTTGTGTGAATGGATATTTCTGTTGTACAGATAGTGAAGGTGGATGCTGTCCAGATGGAACATCCTGTGAATCTGGATACAAATGTTCCAAGAATAATGGCGGAATAGGCGGATTAGGTTATACTGCTACGATAATAATAATAGTGGTAGCAGTTATTGTGGTATTATTGGTAATCTGTTGTTGCATCCAACTATTTAAATCAAGCGGCACACCGGCAGTCAATGGCTCTTTAACTGTCAGGGAAAATCAACTCCCTCAGGCGGCTTGATAATTCCTTCTTGTGTTTAAATATTATAAAAATATCTACTCTAGTATTTTTTTTTTAATCTTGCTTTTAAATTTTTTTTATATATGTTAACAATCATGTATTACTTTATATATCTTAGTCAAATAAACAAATTTTCTTTTAACAAATACAAAAATGAAAAATTGTTTTTTCTCCAAAAAAGATACTCGAATTTCATGCTTCTCTGTACTTTTTTTTTTTTTCAAACGCTTGAAGCACCTCTCTTCTAATACTAATTCTGAATTAGCTCTCGTCTTTTTGAATTACTTGATGGTATGTTAAACAGAACCTGAGCTTCAATTGCTTCTTGGTAGCTGCAAAATGGGATATTATTTTAAAATTACATGCAATACAAGTAGCTAACTTCCGAATTGCTTCATTTTTTATTAATTACTTTGAAAGTTATATAAACTTCATGAATTTATTTGAAATTGATTTTCTATAAATTTGTTTATTTTATATTTAAGGAATAAAAGGATATAAACCCATCAGCAATTCTCAAATTGTTCAAATTTTTTTAACCTTTCTCATATTAGTAATTATAAAATAATTTAATAAGTCATTACTTAAATGTAATATAAACATATCATCATTTAATATTCTACTTGAATGATATGCTAATGGGTATGATTTGTGAATTTGTTGTGAATTACTGCTACAAATATTAATGCAATTGTTTAAAGTACTTGATAATGGCCGACTTATCGAGTTTACATCTGTATTAGTATTAGATGTTGAGCGATGAAATCGAATTTCTCGTACAACAGAGAATTGGTTACAAATAAATACTCAATTATTTCTTTATAAAGTAATATATACAAAGGACACTAATAATAATTAAATAATAACTAATTCGATAGTCGCATAACAAATTCTTTAATAAGTGTATGTTTATAGTAGTATATTAACAATAGTATTATTATTACGATAATATTGAATTGCTAAAATAAAAATAAAAGAAAAGGAAAACATTAATGCAATGTAGATTGGGTCGCATATTTCATTTTTTTGCATGATTTAAATGCGTAATCATGAAGCATCAAGAGTTTTTTTTTTCATTAGTGAGAAGGATGGATTTTATGTTTATTACAAATTTAAAAAAGGATACAACACTCAAAAGAAAAATAAACTTCACATCAAAAAACCTTTAAATTTCTAATAAAATTAATTAATTCCACATTAATATGTGTAACCATACAACATATAATTCAATTTTTAAAATGAGTACAAACACTAATATTACAGTCAGGGATATTTCCATAGATGGAAATACTAAATACCGTAATGATCGATGGTATGAAAAATTCTAGAAGAA